GATGAAAATATATGTACTATATCAGTTTTAAACATAAGACCCAATTAACTAATTTGAGGAGATTGAGATAGTCAAATAAATTACTTGAAGATATTTATGTTTAATTTTTTTAAAACTAATTTGTTTGATTTGTAAACTGATATATAATTTAATAATACATATAATTATTTCAAAAAAAATCATGCAACATATGTTATAATTAAAAAATTTATGTAATTTTCTTAATCTTTTTGCGAACTGGTCATCAATTGAATATTGGATTAAGCACAGGAGGTGGCACATTATTATGCATAAGGCGTAGGTGGAGAAGAGAGGACAAGTTGCAAGTATTCTATAAAAGAGAAAGATAATGGGAAAAATGCATGGGAGGGGTGTGATAGTCTACTTAGCATGTGCAAAGAAGAGAAGATGATGAATGATGAAGTGAAATAATTGTAATATTGTAGTTTGAACCGAAACAAATTAATAAAAATGATCAATAATTTTAACAAGTGGGCCTCTTGTCCTCTTTGCACGTGCATGTGGCTTAACACTTAGCATCATCTTCATTCTAACTCACTTTCGATCTCTGGCCAAATAATAAAGCCAGCTTGTGAAACTACAACAACACAATCAGATTGTGGATTTCTTTAAACAGAAAGCCTGTTTGTTTGTTTGTTCTGAAGAGGTATTGGAAACAACTCAGGTACGTAATGTGGAGGGAATCAAAGAGAGATATGGAAGGAGCTGGCAAGATATATATTTCATCTGTTGTTTAATTAATTAGTTGACCATTTAATTTTGTAATTTAAGGTTACTTCTGAATTTTAGGCAACACATTCTGTGGGTATGTGCCAATTACCTTGTCTCTTAGCATCCTGTTTTCTATAATAATAATAATGTTCTTCCATTCTATATCGTCGTCTTATCTTTTCCTTTTATTAATTCAAGATATTACTGGCATTTGACGATGCAAAGTTGCAATCAATTTTTTTTTTAAAAAAAATTGCAGGTTATCAATTGGTGCTGGATAGATAAAAATATAGGATAAAACAATATGAGATCGTCAAATTTGAAACAAAAAGATAAATGTATACAAATTATATTTCATTTTTAATATAAACGAATGAAGTTCAATAATAAAAATAGACTTAAAAATGTCAAGAAATGATATTGTGAGAGAATGACTGGCTGTATCCTGGATTCCCAGCAGATCAGATCAGGTGGACCCAAGTACAGCTGTACGGTGATGATGCCGCCGTGGCATCTCCTCAGGATATTCTCAAATGAACGAATGCCACGTAGGAATAAGAGCGTGGTCTTCACGTGAGAGGGGGTGGCGCACAGAATTCCCCAAAACAACGCGGGAAATAGGAGACACAGAGATTCCCATAATAGGGCATGAGCTGTTATTTTATTTTATTTATTTACTTTTAAATTTTATTCGCGAAATGCGGAAATATTTTCAATGATAACCACCAAAATCCTTTTTTTTTTGTGGTAACTACAGCATCGAAATCTTTTTTTTAAAAAAAAAAATTGTTCCAAAACCCGGAAAAGCATTAAAGGGAGATTTCCTTTTTCTGTAAAAATGCTAACATATATAACCAACACTATAGATATAGCATGTTCCATCTAATCTTAGATGAGTTTTACTATTCTCTGGCAAAAAAAAAAAAAGATGAGGAATTTTAGTATTCATGACTTAGAATAATATACTCCTCTAGATTTTATATTTTATATAAATTCATTTTTATAGAATTATATTATGTATATATAAACCAGACACATGTTATTTTTGTACATTATATAGAGTCTGAGACGCGTATTCATAATTTATGAATGGTATGATATATTCTAAATTTTATACTTTATATGACATATTGATATATTAGCGAGTAATTTGAACCTATTGTTATTCCTTCCACTAGAATTTGTTATTATAATCTGCTCAATTCTTGTGGGACTATCTAGTGATTACATTCCTTGCTTGAGACCTTATAGTAATTCTCTAATATAATTTTTGTATTCATAACATGGATAACAACATTTTGAGGGGAAAAAAGGTTATATGTAGTTGAATATAATCACAAATATATTGTGAAGCATCATCAGCTTTTCCCGTTCTTTCTTATACTTTCCTAAAGATTCACTTAACAAAAACATATATACTCCTTCTGTATGAAAGAGAAAGTTTAACAGATGCATGAGATGAAGGTGAAGAGAATAATAAGCACGGGACTAAGTTGACAAAATTAATTTCCAAGTCATTCATTATTCAATGAGCGGTAGTGATGTGCTGTGTGGGTGCATGTGGACTCATCAGAATTTAAAATAGGGAAAATTCCTGTGGTGTTTTAAATATATAATATAATTACTAACAAATATTATGACGAGGTTAACAGTGATTTCCCCTTGAAAATATTATCCATTTCTCATCACCATGGATTTCTAAATTTCTGAAATTTATGATCTCAGTCTCTTATATATATATATATTAATCCAAGTGTCTTTAACCTACATTTCTATTAGAAATCGTTCATTTTACATGTTACAATAAGCTTCCCAATTTCGTGAGTTTAATGTCAAAATGAGCAACCCTAAAAATCATATAGTTGTACCGAAAGCAATGAAGATCTTCTGAGATTTATGTTTTCTATCTATTTATTATATATATCATTTTAAGTTTTCTTTAATCTATATTTTTTTTAATACAGTTTTAAAGTTTATTACGACTTCACACAGATTATATATATACTGTTCATTGGTAGATCCACTTGGAAAGACAACGATGGGTGTGCTTGTGTGTGAGAGCGTTAAGTGACAGCTAAGATACTTTAAAATTTTAAATTTTGATTGAAAAACTTGATCAATAAGATGAAATGTCTATCTTTAGTGGAACTTCTTGAAAGTGAATTCCTTAATTTGGTCATGATTTAACAAGAAATCTCTCCCAATTAAATGAGGTTGGTATGTATCACATGACTTTTTTGAACTCTATTAAAAACAAAAACCTAATTTTTCAGATATACATGTCATTCACTATGAAATCTGGAGACCATTTGATCAACTCTCTTCACTAACACGTCTTCTTTATATACATGTGTGTGCACAAGTCATCTTAACTAATTTTTTTTCCCATTTTCTTCTCAATAGGGACTAAAATAACTTTTCTTGTATACGATCATTTTAGATCTTATTATTTAACATTCTTATCTCCACTACCTTTATTTTTTGCTTTTCTTTTCTGTTCAATACCCAAAATTCACTATGATATCACTCATACGAAAATAATAGTTTTACTCACCTAATCAGATCTCCTACATATGGGAGAATGATACAAGGCGATAAAAATGTATATATGCAAACTAAAAATAACTATTTACATTATAATAAAAGAAGGGAAAAAATAGTGCATTCATATTAAAAATTTAATAAAATGACTTATAAATAAGACAACAAAAAAACTTTCTCTGTCTGTCTTATAAATAACACCAGAGGAGTAATTTCAATATCTTAATGAATGTGGCAAGACATATGTGTTACATATCTTTTAGGAAACGCAACACACCATTTAATTATAAAATAAAATAAAATCAAATCAGAGGCTATGGTTAAGACCATGATTAACTGAAATTTCTTAGAGATTGATAGTGCTGGCATCAGTTAAAAGATGCTCTTCATTTAACTGCACTTTTACTGCAAACTTCACAGTGCGCATGGAATGCGTGTGTGCGTGTGCGCGCAACAGAGATCTGACCTTTCCCCTCTTGGAAAAAAGAATACGCCAAAGAAGTTATCAATAATAAGAACAGATAATATTTCTTTCTAACTGTCATGATTCAATTTTCTTAAATGTATTTTGTAAGCAAGACCTTAATTAGATGCATATTGATGTGCTTGAGTATACTTTCAAAAATCATATCGAGATTGTAAAAAGAAAAGAATTCAACAGATAAAGAATACTATAAAATATTCATTCACTTGAGATTCAAAAAATTCTTCTCTGAAATCTCATGTTCCCCATCTTCCCAGAATAGTCTTAACACCCAACTGACCAAAATGCTTCCTTTTTCTTCCTCTAAAAGAACTGCACTGCCCTAATTAAATTGTTACAGATCAGTGTGTGTTTATAATACTAGCTGTGCTTCTAATTATAAGACCTAGTTTATAGTCTATAATAAGGTCTTATAATTACGATCGGAGATAATATTACATTATAGCCTCTTCTTTTTCATCATATTATTCAGTGCTTTTTTTTTTGCCCCCCTTGGCCTGTATTACCATATCATGCAGTTCATGTAACATTAATTTATAATAGTATACTCTATTCAATTGCTGACTTGATGGTTCAAGTACCAAGATTTGTTTTTATTATAATAACTTGAACCGTTTTCATTCTTATTTCTCTATATATATAAGTCTTCTCTTCAGCAAAAAAACACACACAACCGCTGCATCAAGTTCGTCTGCAATTCCATGAAAGCAGCTGAAGGTACGACCTTCTGGTACTACTCTCTATTCAAGATATATACATGTTGGTACAAACAAACTTGAAACTTCTTATTTTTAATTGCTTGTTATATCCACATACAGCCCAGAATAATATTTCCGTTTCAAATCTGACAACAAAGTTTCTACGACAGTTTTTGTCATCGCAACGAACTGATCACTATGTGAAAGTTGGACTCCATCATCTCTTCTTCTTTTCCCTAAAGGATTGAAGACTCCCAAGAAAGATTTTCTCATCAGAATCTTGGCTCTTGATTATATATTTTGGTTTCCAGAAGCTGCTAGATCTAGAATCGGTAAGCTCTTCTTGATATACATAATAAATACTTGCCCAACCTTAATTAGTCCTTCACACACACACGCACACACACACACATATTGAATGTGTATGTGTGTGTATATAATTTCTCTGATATATAGACTTAAATGTGGTAGGTGGGAAGAAACGCTTGTTCATCAACTCTCATCTACAGCTTTGAATTTATAGTATTAATTGTCGGTTGATCAGTATGGATGGTCTTCTTCCCTGGGATGCTTCTGAATATGCCACCAATATGCCGATCTTGTGGAACACCCACCAACTAGACATTGAAGAGGAAGCAGGCTACTCCATGCCTCACTTGGATTATCAACCAGCTCAAACAGGTCAATATCACCACAATCTTTATTCAGCTTTTGATCTTGTTCCGGATTATTTCGACACCAATATGGCCGACGACCAGCAGCAACAACAACTCATCAATAATGGAGATGACGGGAATATTTCCATGATTCTCTCTGATAGCTATAGAAGAAACACATGGAACTTCAACAACAATGCTATTTCAGTTTCCCCGGGCGAATCTCAGAAAAGTAATAACGCTTCTGCAACTTCCAATGGTAGCAGAAAGAACAAGGACGACGTCGTTCTATGTAATGTCAGTGAAATTGAAGAGGCCATCTCCCGGAGCACTTCATCACGTCCATGTGTCGTCGTCAATAATATTTCAGAACCTAACAAGCCCAATCATGCAAAAAAGAGTTTTGGGCTTGTTTCATCATCGTCTTCTTCAAACATAAATTTTCAGCAGCCAAACTCAAGCATATCATCTAATTCCAGTAGTATTGGCCAAGAGCCTGATCAAGAGGCTATAGCATTAATGAAGGAGATGATATATAGGGCTGCGGCTTTCAGGCCTGTGAACTTAGGTTTGGAGGTAGTGGAAAAGCCCAGAAGGAAGAATGTGAGAATATCGACAGATCCACAGACTGTGGCAGCAAGGCAAAGGAGAGAGAGAATAAGTGAGAGGATTAGGGTTTTGCAGAAGATAGTGCCTGGTGGAAGCAAGATGGACACAGCTTCAACGCTTGATGAAGCTGCAAATTATCTAAAGTTTCTCAGGTCACAGGTCAAAGCTTTGGAAAGTCTAGGGGACAAGCTTCATTATTCTATGAACTGTACCCCTCTCTCTTTTACAAACTCTAGTCATCAATATTACTTTCAGCAATACCATCCCACCAATTTAGGGAAGGAGAGTTAACTAGGGTTAAAACATGGGGTCAAATCCATAATCTTCAATGATTTTGATCACTAGCAATGATTAAATTCTGATTTTCCTCTTTTGCAAAAAGATTCTGGTATGGAAATTGTAGTTTTCATCAGGTACTGTTTAAATTTAAAATTCTAATTTTGGCATGAGAAGGTTTTATATTATTAATTATTTCTGGTGCTGAAATGCAATGAATTTTTTTAGGCACTAAATGAAGGACAAAATTCCAAGTTGATCAGCATCACATGATCGATACAGTTTCCTTCACATATAATGCATTTTGGGGAGTCTGACAAGAAACCCATTTCATTACATAAATGGCGTGTTCAACTTGTACATTGTATACAGATATGTGTGTGTATATTTGGTTGAACTTATTTATATTTTCTGTTCTATAGAAGACAAGCCCCTATTAAAAATTTAAGGATTTCTATACTTAGAGAGAGAGGCGGAATATTAAAAGAAAATATTAGGAGAGACGTCCAAAATTGAATGAATTATTAGATAGTTTCTTTCCCTTTGAAAACTGTTCTCCTTCAAAAAAATTTTAATAATTTGGAACAGCTCAAACTAATGAAGGGAGGAATTCAGAATCTTTTTGAACAACAATTTAAAAACCATCCACCGCAATTTCCTTTTGTTATAGAGCAAATTAACTCTCAAATAAGAATGACTTTTCAATGAAAGCTTTTTCACTTCGCCTTGTTTCTTCACCGTTCTTCAACTACACACACACACACACACACACACACATTCTTTTTGTAGAAAGTGAAGAAGCAAATTAAAACACAGAAAAGAAAGAAGAAATTATAATGTCTTAATGCTATGTTTGGATGGAGAGAAAATGAGAGGGAAAGAAAAACTAAGAAGGAAAATAAGAGGAGAAGTGGTTTTTCCTCTGTTTGGATGAGGGAAGAAAAGTAGGAAAAAAAGTTGGAAAAAAAATAAGATGAGTCCCACATCCCATTTTCTTCTCAACTTTTCTCTCCATATATGGAGAGAAAATGAGAAGACAACATATTTTTTTCCTCTGCCTTACATATGTTTTTTTAGCAAAATAATATCTATTTACTTTTTTTCATTTTTTCACTTTATTTATTATTATCAAGTTTTTCTTCTATGTTTGCTTAATTGAAAAATAAAATAACTAAAATTGCAAAAATCCTTCTAAAATGAACTGAAAAGAAAAACTTGTAGAGTTGTTGTTTTGGTTTTTTTTAGCATTACATTACACAAAATGTTATTTTTTTTACAAAATTATTTGATATAATATATATTTATCAAATAATTTGATTTTAAATTATATGATTATGTTAATATAAATATGGTTTTTCATTATGATATTTAATTTGATTTTAATCAAGATATATTTTGATATAACAGAAAGGGTATTTTAGTTATTTATATATTTATTCATTTTCTTTCCTTTTTGTTTTCTCTTGTTCATCCAAACATGAGGGGTGATAATATTTTCTCTCTGATTTTTTCTCCATTTTCTCTCCTCTTATTTTCTTTCCTCTTAACTTTTCTTCTCATCCAAACAGAAGGTTAAATCACGTAGTAAAACTTTCATTATTCTTTATCTTTTAATAACTCCCATAATGAGAAAAATGCTTCAAACATTATTTTTATTCCCTTCTAATAATAACCCTTATATTCAATAAACACATCATTTGAGATGATACACTAATTAAAGTGATTTCAAGAAGTGAGATGTGGGAGAAACATAAAAACAAAAAGTGATCGAAATCTACATTTAAGTCCCACTTTTGCATGTGTCTCTAATTATAAAAATGATTAAGTGATCAATTACATATTTAAAAACCAGAAAAGCGTAGCAATTATAGCACTTATGATTAGAAAGTGGTTGTCACTTTGATAAGTATAGTTTATTCCCTTCTAATAATAGCCCTTGCATTCAATAAACACTTCATTTGAGATGATATACTAATTAAAGTGATTTCAGGAAGTGAGATGTGAGAGACACATAAAAATAAAAAGTGACGGAGAAATCTACATTTAAGTCCCACTTCTGCATTTGTCTCTAATTATAAAAATGATTAAGTGATCGATTACATATCCAACAACCTGAGAAGTGTAGCAATTATGGCACTTATGATTAGGAAGTGGTTGTCACTTTGATAAGTGTGCTTTATAATAATATTTCAACGACGACGACGACGACAATAATAATACTTAAAAGCTTACTGTATATTTTAAGAGACATTCTCTTAACAGTGGTGAGCTGAGCTACTCAGTGTTGCTCTCTCCTTGATACAACCCAAAGCGTGCCCTCATAAACCAATATCACTATAATAGTACTTAAATTATCTTTTATGTAAATCCCAAATATTCTCAAAATATTAATGTTAACAACTAATGATTTCGCTAATGATGTTGACTTATGACTATGATAATTAAACATCGCCACTCTAAGCACATGTCTCATTGTCTCCGCCCTTCCGGTGATCTGCGTATGATTCCGACCACCTTTTTCGATTTCTCAACTATTTTGGGTCTAAACATAATTACTCCTCCGGTTCTTATTATAAGACCCAATTTGACTTTTTATTTGGTCCTAATTATAAGACCCCAATCCATTTTATCTCTTATATTTATGCATTTTTTTCAAGATAATCCTTCTAATAATGATAGTTTTAGCCAATATACTTAATCAGCAAGGATATTTTAGGAATGACAACACTTATTTATTATAAATAACCAATTTAACTTACTTCCTTAATCTCCTCAAATAAGTCAATTGGGTCTTATAATTAGGACCGGAGGAGTATATTTTAAGAAAAATATTTGTAATATATTTGTTCACCATTGATATGAAAATGTTTATTATTTGGGGATATGCTGCCCTTTTCTTGTGGGGTTCATGAGTAGTAGATTATCCGGAAATTTCTTCTAAAGTCTCTTCCTTCATGTAGAGGTTGAACTTTGAAGAGATGGCTCCAGCTATTAAGATTTCCAGCTCACTCTGTGTTATGTTGGCTTATGTTTTACGTCTGCCTTAGATAGGTCAGATAATATTTAATTAGAAAATTGGGAAATCTAATAAAATGAGAGAATAAATTAAAATTAACTCCTGTGAGAGAATTATGGAACAAGAAAGCCTAATTTCCTGATTGTTAATTGAAAGGCCAGCAGCGAATCCTCCAGCAATAAATGAGAAATAACACCTTCCAAAATAGTGGCCGTACAGCTCTATATATCTGAATAATTTTAATTTTAAATTTCATTGCCTTTAAATTTAGAAGGTCAATCTTATGAAAAATAGTTTGTTATCATGTCTCCGAAAAAAAGTTATCATCATATCATATCTTATCAGTATAATTATTGCCTTTAGATATAAAAAAGATATCATATCTGTTTTTTATTTTAAATTTATTAGATAGGAATTAAATTTAAAAAGAATAAAGCACTGGACGTATTGATTTCTTATATGAATTTTCTTTATAATAAAATATTTTATGAATAAACTTTTTACTCCTAACGAAACTAAATTTATTCAAACAAATCGACTCCTAAGATTTTTTTTTACGAAAGTTATCTTTAATTTAAATATTTTCATCGTAGGTTATCCTTATCGTTGTTAAAATCTATCCAATTATTATTATAAATAGAGGATCAGACCTCAGAGGCGACACAAAGTGAAGGTCGAGTAATTTAGAATTGTCTTGTTCCTCTTTCTAAGAGCAATTAGATTTAGCGCTTCAAATTCAAAGAAGAAGATGGCATCGTCGTCGAAGACTATTACAGTGGTAAGCAGCGACGGAGATGAGTTCGAGATGACCATGAAGGCCGCAGAACAATCGAAGCTAATAACTCACATGCTTGATGAATTTGGTGTTTCCGACAAGGTCCCATTATACAATGTGAATTCTGAGACGATGGCAAAGGTCATGGAATACTGTAAGAAACATGCTGATCATGAGGCTGCCAAGGAGGAGGACGGCGGAGCCGCCATTGGTGCCGGCGGCGAGGAGGAACTGAAGAAATGGGATGATGAGTTTCTGAAAGTGGAGAATGGTTTGCTGTTTAATATAATACTAGCGGCGAACTATCTGGAAATCAAAAGCTTGTTAGATTCATCATGTCAGGCTGTGGCTGATATGATAAAGGGCAAAACTCCAGAGCAGATTCGACAGATTTTTAATATAAAGAATGACTTTACTCCTGAGGAAGAAGCGAAGCTCCGCAGTGAAAATGAATGGGCCTTTCAAGAAGATTGAAGTCAAATTTCTTCTTCTTCTTCTTGCTTTTTCCCCCCCCCCTTTTTTGAGGTTTTTGTGGTTTGAATTTTTTTTTTCCAGTGCACAATTATTAATAATAACTTTATTTACATTTGTCAATTTTTAGGCATATATTATAGTTCTTTTTTTTTTGGTGAAGTATAATTCTTATACCTGAACAAGTCTTTCAATTTCTTCTAATCTGAATCTCAAAGAAAATATCATAGATGAATTCTTTTAAATAATAAATAAGGATGAAAATATGCAATAAACTAGCAATTTTTAAGACCCATTTAAATATGATCTCTACCTCTTGAAAGGAATTAGTCATTGATATGAAAGGATGCCATTAACAGACATACCTACTTTCATTCGCCTCCCTTTAAAATTGCACCTACCCTCTTATAAAATTTTTCTTGTTTCCCCCGGAAAAAAAAATCAATTGCCTCGCATCACATTAAATTTTGCAAATATCTAGCATATGTATTTAAAAATCGTTTATCATTAAATTCATTATGACATAAATATATGACTTAAATTAAATGAAATTAATAAATATAGTTTTAATCATAGAAAAATAGCAAAAAGTCTCTATTTGAAAATTTTAATATTTATATTAACTATAAATGTTGTCCCCCCTCAGTAAAGGGCACTAATGCCGTTGATAAAAGATTTATATTAGCTATTAATGTTGTCCCCACTAGTAAGGCCTCCATTGATTAAAAAAAAATAATATAATATCCTTTTTTTTTGGGACTCAATATAATATCCTATTTAATTTCAAAAATTTAACCTCGGTTCTTGTCTCTAAATTTGAAACTAGCATTTTTTTTTAAAAATGTTGTCTATAAACGTTAATCCCGTTTCATTCAGAGTCTCTTCTTTCAGATTTTTAGGTTCAAAGGTTGAAAGATAGTTTCACGTTCATCCCAAGATCTTAAGTGCACTCTGCGTTGGGCATGGGGTTCGAGTCCGTTCTTCATTAGCCAAACTATTTAATTAGAAAAATAAAAAATTTAATAAATGATAGAATAAATCAGCATTAATTCCTATGAGAAAATTAGGAAACAAAAAAATTAATGACTAAATAGAAAATTTGTTAACTGAAGGGTAAGTAATAAATCTTTCTACAATAAATGAGAGAGATAATACCTTCCTAAATAGAACTAAGGACCTGTTTGGTTCAATTCCATTGCAAGCATGCTATGGTAATTAGGACTGCATTACCAAAATGCAGATGTTTTGGTTGCTCTTTAGTGTGGTAATGGGGTTTGCCATGGCAATGTAGATTGCCAAAATAGCCATCCTGACTTTATAAACAGGAGGGATAAATAAGATGCTCCTCACCTTAACCGTTCAGTTTTTCAACATTCCCTCATCCTCTCCATTTGGCCCACCGTGCGTTTTCTCCACCACTCCTCTACTTTCTAACACCTTGGATAAAGTGACTAAAGTAGATATGTTTTTCAATAACTCATTCTATGATTCGTAAATATAAACTACAACTTATATTATAAAATTTCATTTCTTATGTTTGTTTATTTTATTTTTTGATTAACTTTGTAGTTTTTCAATTTGAAATCGATTTTAATATATTATTATTTATTTAAAATAGTTATTATATAATTATAATATCCTAGTTTGATTATAAATTCTAACTTTTTAGAAATTATATAAAACTTTCATACTTTACTTTGGTCCTAGTACATTTTTTGGGTAAACATGTTCCTATTTATTAGATACGCTCAAATAATATCTAAAATTTTAATTTTTAAATATTTTTGCCCCATTAATTATATATTATATCACCCTATTAATTATCTTTCACGCATTTTTTCCAACTCACATTCTCTTTCTCTTGTTCACACTCTCTCCCTCCGTAAATAAAAATATTTTAAAAAATAAAATATATTTATTGCATTTAATCAATTCTAACAAACTTTTAAATGTATATTTATAGATTACAATTGGGTTTTCAATTTTTTTTCTGATGCAACAATTGATTCTTCATTACTCCAACTAAACTTTCTCGCCGAATTTGTAAATGACACGTTATACAGCTTAAGGTCGTTTTCATCCATATATTATATTGCGAAAAATAACGCCTTATCTAGTCGCCCTATGCAATTTTAGCAATTGGTGGTCCAATTTCTATTCGAAATATAATTAATTTTCAAAAACATGGTAATGTAATTTATATATCTGAATAATTTTAGTTTTAAATTTCATTGCCTTTAAATTTAAAAGATAAATTTCAAATACTTTAGGTTAATCTCATAAAGAATAGTTTGTAACTTTGTTATAACATCATCAAAAAAAGTTGAGTACTATATTTACATCAAATTACTTATATTCATTATGTCAAGTTTTCTAATTACATATGACCAGGTGTCCTTTTTTTTTGTTGAAATATTAACATTTAATAGTATTCAATTATAAATTCATATGAAAAAGAATACATGATCATGTGTGATTAGAGAACTTAACGTAATGGATATAAGCAACTTGATCTAAGTTTTTTCCAAAAGTTAATATCACATATCTTATGAGCATAATTATTGTTGCATTATGATATAAAAAAGATATCATATTCGTTTTTAATCTTATAAAAAAGATTGTGGCTCATATGATGAATGGCGAAACTCCAGACCACGTTCGACGCACTTTTCATATTAACAGTGCCTTTCTTCCTCCTCAGCAACATGACCACATCATTTGCAACAACAAGAATTAATGTTTCAAGTCTATTTTCTTGTTTTTTTCTTTGTTGAGGTTTTTATGTTCACAATTATTAATAATAACTCTACGTACATTTATTAATTTTTTAGGAATGTATCACATATCACTTTTATATTTTTCTTTTGTGAAAAAATAATTTTTATACCTCAATATGTCTTGCAGTTTCTTCTAATTAATCTGAATCTCAAAGAAAAAGATCATTGTTAAATTGTTTTAAATAATAAATAAGGCTGGAAACATGGAATAAACTACGTAATGACTCATAATTTATATACGATCTCTACTTCTTGAACTGAATTAGTTATTGATTGTTAAACGAAGGATGTATTCCATTAAGAGCCATATATAATTACTTTCAATTGCCTCTCTTCGAATTAATTGCACTTGTCTCGACCAAACAAAAAAAAATTGCACTTGCCGTCCTATAACATTATGCTTGTCTCCCAAAAAAAAAAAATCAATTGCCTCTGTTGGCAAAAAAATTATCAATTACCTCGCATCAACTTTTCTTTGTAGCTAACATACGTATTTTACAAAATTGTTTATTTTTAAATTTATTATAAAATAAATTTACAAGTATGGTACAATTGAAATTAATAAAGGGATTTTGAGTGATAGTGAACTCTTTTATATAGGAAAAAAGGGAGATAATGAACTGAATGATCTTTCATTTTAAATTATTTTCGTTTTTAGTTAAATAATTTATTTTTTTCCAATTTAATTTGTATAAGTCCTGTGCAATTATAAATTCTAATTCTAGTTTTGGTTCTTGAAATTTCAAACCATGATTTCTGGTTCCTTCCATTTGAAACGTTTATACTTTATCCTTATACTTTGGTATTAAAATTGGAATTGAAGGTGTTAAAGTTTGACGATGTGTTATTAACGCGGTCAGGTTTGCTTACGTGGCATTCATCGCAGCTCCAAGTCCTTGTTCCCCTCTAATATCTAGAGAACCTACATCCTCGTTCATCCTTGTTCAGGAAGCAAATTTTAAAATTCATCCGGCTACAATTAGTAAAGTGCCAGAAAAAAAGTTCAGTTTAATATACACAAATAAGACATTATCACCGTTATAAAAATAAGAAAAACTTAAAGTATATACCTGCGTCATTTATATGTATAGCCCCAATGATAATATTTCCATCTCAATCTCTAGCTCTAAGCTCAGCAAGTAGCTTAGACAAGTCACCGTCGTCCACCTTCTCCGTCTCCTTAGTCACCGGCACCGCCTGAGATGCCGGCTGCGGCAAACCCACTGAGACCTCGAGGCCATAATCGTCGGCGACCTCCTGCATCAAGCTGTTGACTTGGTCTTCCGGAGTGGAAAGCGAGGTGGATCCAGCCATGGCGGTCTCCATGAACTCAGCGTGAACCTCCATATTCACAAACTGCTTCTCGAATTTGTCCATGGTCTCCGACATCTTCTGGAGATTCCCGGTGGCCAAGGAAGATTCCAGAGACTTGACGATATTAATCATGGACTTGTTGATGGTGTTCATCTTGGCTTGGGTATCAAGCCGAGCCACGACGGCGTCAAGCCGAGAGGCGAGTCGCAGATAGTTCATCTGCTCCGTTCGCTTTCGGATGGCGTTCTCGGCGTGGATGCGAGCGCCGTCCGTGTTCCCTTTCTCCATAGCTTTCTTAACCTTAAGCTCTTCGGATTTCTCTTCCTTCTTACATTTACAGGCTTGGCGTTGAAGAGACTTGGAATTGAATTTCAATTCCATAATCTGCTTCATGAACTTCGTCTCTGTGTTGCCCATGATTGCTTATTTCATTACACAACGGTCAAAAAATATTGAAATCTGGGGAACACAGAAAATTGGAAACAATTGACTTACGAGAAATTTTTATAAATCTGAGGGATATTTGGGAATTTATAACAGAGAAACCAGAAACAGGATAAGGTTGCATCGCAGGCATTAATCATTTAAACTTCATTAATATCCATTCAACATATTACTGATTTGTTTGGAAAGAAGAAGATATTCGTTTAATCTAAGATATTCTTCCAATCTAAGATAAAATATAATATCTATGATTATATTATTCATATTATTAATTAATTTTTTTAAAAATTTCACATAATACACGAAGAAATATATTTAGTTATAATTAAGGCTGTTGTAAACTTATAGAATATTAGACGGGCTAATTTAATCTCTTTTTTTAATAAAAGCTCTCTTAATATTTTAAATAAGTTAAGTTACATATAACTTATATCATTTTTGTTGAGCACCAGATATACGGCAGAAGTTAATCCTCGGGATATTTAAAGTAAATTTAAATATTCTTTCATTTCTTAATGTAAGACCTAATTAACTAGTTAATAGACTAATAATGTTAGTTAAATTAGTTAATATGATATTTTTTTTCTCCAAAACACCCTAAGAATCTTTTTTAATTTCTTCCTTCCCTTTTCTACTTGGTTATTGTTAGAAAACATCAATAAGATTAATTTGAAAAAAATTGATAAATTTGTAAAATAGGTATTATATATACGACTGATATCAACTCCCCCGTTAGATTTTATATTGAGGAATAGAGGAGCAATTCCTAACTATGTCACATAATTTCTTAGACTTTCTTGCAGTAGAATGTTATTTATGAGCCATTTTCTTCATGAAGTTTTTTATGCATATTTTGCTTTTTTATGTCGCGTGGTGCCGTGGTGGTACTGGGCAAGAGTGCAAGACCCTTTCAGAGCCCCGTTATGATGTTTTTCAAATTAAAAATATTAAATACATATGTGATGCGGTATGATATTTGTAGAATTATAATTAATATATAATATAATCTCTCATTCGTTATTATAAGATCCATTTAACTATAGGTAGAATATCAGTTAAATCCAGTCAAAATACCTAAATTCAAATTTAGGTCCACACTTTTAACAAATTCCTAATTAGACCATGAGACCTAATTAGGAATTTTTTTTAATGTTGTTAAATAACCAAACTGCCCGTTAACAAGAAAATTGATTAAAGTGATCCATCTCTTATGGTTTTTTTTTAGACCAAAAAACATACAAGTAATTTTACGATGTTTGAAATTTGTATATATAAAACTTATGCTATTAAAAATATTTTAATAAGATATGTTAAATTAAAGATATAAGTAACCTTCAAATAAATTTTTTCTATTTTCAGTTCTTATAATTTACGTTTGTTTCATTTATTTAAGCAATGATGGATCCAGCCGAAAACGTAAATTGTTACAACCTGAAAACAAAAAATATTTATTTAAAGACTACTTATATTATAAGTTGAAATGTTTTGTGAAAATATTTTGAAGCTTTTAGTTATATATACAAAATTTCAAATACTTAAAAATTATTTATATTTTTCTCTCTAAATATTAATAATAAGATATGATGAACCACTTTAGAGGGATCAAATAATCAATTGTTATTTTTAACTAAAAAGGGGCACTGTGGTCATTTAATAACATTCAACAATCCCTAATTAGGTCATATATCCTAATTAGAAATTTGTTAAAAGTGTAGGTTTCAATTTGAATTTAAATATTACGGCTAGATTTAATTGGGATTTTCCCTTAACTATAGTACATGGTTTAAGAAAATTGTTAAAATTAGTTAAAAATAATAAATATGTTGAAAATGTGCTTTCTTTCCAAATATGCCCTTATTTATAACTGGATAAGTGTGAGTGAGGAAAAATAGGAGATAATATATGGAAAAAAGATAGTGAGAGAGACGATATTAATTAAGGGTAAAATGAGTAAAAATACATTTATTATTTAAACAAATCCAAAGGAGATCTTATAAAAAAGGACAAACCAATTCAAAAAATTGGATCTTATAATAAAGAACGGAGGGAGTAAGAATTAAAATTAAAAAAATACATGCTTAATTTTAAAATAAACATATAAAATTATAATTAATTTTTTCTCACCAAGGGTTAATACAGATGTATTCCCTATCTCCAAACTAGTTAAATGAATTAATTGTTGTATTTATTTTATTCTCTCCATTTCTTTTTTATTTTATTTTGCATGTAAATTATCAGGTTGATTAAATTGTATTTAGTAGTTCTTCATCATCATTAATTTGCTTTTTAAATGCCAATATGTCTTCTGTTTTATTGCTGATTCTTTAAAGACATTTATTTGAGTACCAAATTAAAATTTGGTTCCTGAGTCTTGTGTGATGATAATGATTTCCGTAACTTCAAGGTTGAAATTGGCAAAGTTGGTTGTTGGACTTTTCCTCTCCTTTCAATTTGCTCTGTCTACACAGATGGCGAAATTTTCAGAATTAGAAAAAGTTAAGATCATCAAAAATTGGACAAGAAAAAAAAAACAAAGAAATCAATATCTTACACTTTATCTTTCCTTTAATGTTTAAAGGAAGTGGGTCACACCTCCATTTTATTCAAGAGCTAGGGAGAGAAGAATCGTGGTGCATCCTTTTCAGTTTGGCCTTTGACAGTATTAAGCCAACACACATTTGTAATGGCGGGCAAACGTCTAGGTTATGCCCCTGGGAAAGGCCTTTTAACGAGATTCTAAAATTTCTAATCAATTTTCCTGGCCTCATATATAATGGATTTGTTAAAAGTGTAGGATATAAATTTAGATTTTGATATTTCAATTGATTTTAATTGAAATTTTTTTCTAATTTATTTGTAAATTGAAGCTTGACTATAACAAATAAAACGTATGCATTAAACAATTCCAAATTAATACCCCATTTTCGATATACTAGCTACCCAACTTCTTGTATACTTACAACACCAATTTCCTATACGGCAAAAACGAGACTAATTTTGCGAATGTACAGCAAAACCCAGAAAAAATATAAACAAGAACAGCAACCAAACTGAACCAAGTGTCATGCATTAAAACGGTAGTTAATGCACATGTGTCATGCATTGAAAAGCTTTTCTCTTCATGACACTTCGAAATTTTAAATTGAATAAATAATAATTTGGAGTATTTTCTTTCCATTTCATATGTTATATTTTTCTAGAATACAAATTAATTAAGGAACCAGGATTTTTAAATCATGATTAATTAGTCCGACCCAGTTAATTAATCTAGCTAGCATATTCTAACAGCATACACAAACTTGAATAACCATATTGCGGAAAATTGCCCATTGAAGTAGAATATAATGATCACAAAGGTATACTACATATCTAAGTGGGGGACGGCATTTTGGGTACGTTTATATTTCGGTCTAAGTGTCTCTATTTAGAGTTAACATGGAACTCTAAAGAAAGCGTAATGATCACAACAATGTGTTAATTACTTCGATATATATTTTTTCAGTCCTTAATATAAGACCTAATTAACTAATTTGAGTATGTTAAAAATGTTAGTTAAATCAGTTAATATGATATGTTTTTCCCCCTAAAACCGCTTAATTATCTTCCTTAATTACCTATTTCCTCTTCTACTTGATTATTGTTAGAAGAGTATAATAAGGCTAATTTGAAAAAAAGTTGATAAATATGTAAAATGAGTTCTATATATAGGACTAACATTAACCCTCTAATAATTAAGTTTTACATTAAAGACCGGAGGCATACTAATTATAGTGCGTTACAATTCAAAAGAAGACAAGAAAGTGAGGAATGGAAAGTAGTAGAAGAGTAGAAATCCTTCAGAAAAAGTCAGGATCAGAGGAAGAGACAAAAAGCACTTAAAAAATAATTTTTCATGTAAATTGAAATAAAACTTCTTTTATATACTTACTCTATATATCGTGATTTGGTTTTCTCTCAAGCATTCTCAGAAAGTCACAGATGAGGAGACGATTCTTTACTGCCCCAACGACCCCCTGCCTCTTGACGAATGTTCCTCATCAGTATAACCCCAAGCCCACTTTTTAAATCAGTTGTTCCGTTACTTTTTGGCCCATTCATTGGCCCAGTAATCTCTGGCCTATTCGTTATAGAAAGATTTGCAATATCATTATTAGTATGCTTGAGTAAGCTCCAACGGCAAGAGTTGATTACATGAAGGAAAATTAGATATTAGCCATGGAAAAACCAAAAAAATGGCGAAACTAATGAAGAACACATATCCGTTCGAATTCTTCTAGAATTGGGATCATTCCAGGAAATTATCTTAATTTCTATTCAATCGTAGCTGATGAGTTGCCTTATTTGGCTGCTTTGATTGAAACCCTGATGACTCGCTCAAGCTTAGGGTTATTATCCCTTCCATTTTGTATGTGCATTATTTTCAAGCCCACCTAATTCTTGGGTAAAATTTAGGAAATCTTTACGGCGTATAAAAAGTCCTTGGTCAAATGAGCACATGAAAGATAATTACTGCCTTTCGTTTAGAATATGAATCACTTTATTTATTGAGTCATAACATAAGTCACTTAAAAAGTACTTAATAATTATTTACTAATTTTTCTCCGTTAATTAATAGTTAAATGTGACTCATTGTATGTATTTTTTCTGAAAAAATCACATGGGGGTATCATACTTTCTCTTAATTTTTAATTTGGTATCTATAATGTTTTTCCTTTTAATTAAAATATTTAATTTTTTTTAGTAATACTAGCTTTTGTAACTTTGTTCTATTAGTATTTTTAATCTCTATGTAAGAGGTTAACAATGTTAATAAAACAAAATTAAAAATTTAATTAATAGAAAAAACATATAGGTACCAATTTGAAAACTAAAAAAAACAAAAAATATAGACACCTTCAAAATGATTGTTTCCTTTCTCCAAAGCCTCATTTAACAGGGCTTCTCTTTTTTTGGTCATATGTTGGCATCGTTGC